GGCGGCGGTCGTACTGGCGGCGGTCGTGCTGGAAGTCGGCCGTGCTGGCTGCGGTCGTCTGTTCTGAGCCCTGCCCCGGCTCTGTCGATCGCAATGGAATGGAATCAAAAAGTGGCCCACCCTGTGACTCCCAGGCGGCCATTGGGCCTTTCTACCAGAAGTGGCACTAGCAAAGTTCTAGTGGATAGACGCCCCTACGGAAGAGGCGAAAATCATGGAAGGTCCTTTCAACGATCTCTGGATACTCGCGCTTTCTAACTTCAGCCCAGACCCCTGCCACCGGGCCTCAAGAGAGCCCGGAAACAGCCCCAAGGGGTCCCAAGAGGGCGCCAAGATGATCCGAGAGGGCTTCCAGCCTGCTCTTCACACGTCCCAGGGTGCCCCCAAGACGCCTCAGAAGTCGAAGTACCCAAGACGTGCGTTGCCCTATGGGTGTTTGAAAGATTTGAGGGTTCTCGCACTTTCGAGCTTCAGGGCCCCCGACACGGCCGAAGAAGCCCTGAAAAAGATCGCGCCTAGACTGACCAGAAGCTCCAACAGAGGCCCAAGACGCCCCGGAAGGGCCCCAAGACGGCCCACGAGACCCGCAAGAGGACCCAAGCAACTCCCAAAAAAAGCCCATAGGGGGAAAAGCGAAGAGGCCTTGGAAGCCTGTCCCAAAAAAAAGATTGTCGCCGAGACTCTTCACGTGCCCCCAAGAGCTCCCCAGAAGCGCCGAAGAGGCTTCAAGAGGCGTCCAAGAGGCCCCAAAAGAAGCCACTTCAAAGGGCCCCTCCCCCAGACGCCCCCAAGAAGGCCCAAGGGCCCCCTCAAGAGATCCTCCGTGCACGTATCGCAGTGCTTCGCCCAGCGCGGCTCTGTAGGTTTCGATATGGGTCCATACTGGGCTTTTTTTTCCGAATATTACGGACGGAGGGAATTTACACACCGCTTTTCTATTTTACATTGGCGCCTGATGCGGGGGTCTGCTTCTTCGTCGTCGGACCCCCTTCCATCCAGCATTCCCCTCTGGCTGGTCCTGGCGGGGGTTCAACCGCGTGCCCTGGCACCGAAAAGGAGGAGGCGCACGAGGACGAACGCGAAAGGAGGGAGAGGAGGATGGGGGAAAACTGCGACGAAGAACCGAGCAGGAGGGCGCAGGAGTCAACCAAAACCAGCGTGGTGCGCGCTCGTTTGTTTGCTCTCGCTCGTCTGGTGGGCAAGAGCCCAGAAGCTTCCCCGAAGCAGCGCCCTCCGGACCCGCGAAGCGAGCACGCCGACGAGGTGGCCTTGTACCAGGAGAGGAGGCTCGCGACTGGCGCATCCGACTCGGCCGCAACCTCGACCCCCCCGCCGCCCGCGTCGACGGCCTGAGGGGCGGGGAGGCCACGGGGGGGAGGGGTGACTTGAGGGGGCGGGAGGGGAGAGAGGCAAGAGAGAAAAGGAGCGGGGCACGAGGGGCAATTTTGCGAGGGCCGATGGGCTTCCCAAAAACCTAAGTATGGGAAGCCCAATTCGCAGAATTCGGAGCAGCGCACTTCGGGAACCCCGAGTCGACCCTCGAAAACCTTGGGGCGCGGACCCGAAGAGTCCCCCGAAGGCCCCCCGAGGCCCGGTCTCCCGAAATTCCTGCCGCCGAATTATGAAAACCCATAAGCCCTCAGAAGATGGGGCGGGAAAGGGGAAGGGGGAGGGAGGAGGGGGTGAGAGAGGAGGGAGAAGGAAGAAGGGAGCGCGTGGGAGGAAGTTGAAGCGACAGAGAAAGGGGATGCTTCGCTTGGAAAGCGAGAGAAAGGAGGAGGAGGAGGAGGAGGAGGAGGACCCGCTACACGCTACCCCGTGGTGGCCGGGGCCCCGATCGTGGTGGAGAACCACGGTCGCCTGGGTGAGAAGCGTTGACCCTGACGAGGACGCTGGCGCCCGCCCAGGACACCGACTGCTCTGCGGCCATCCGGCACATACGCCAGTCGTTCGGATGCGCACTGCATCGCCACGCCGCCGACGGAGGTGCTCGCGGCGACGCAGGCCCAGGGCTGGGCGGCTGACGCTAAGCGGGCCAGCCTGGTCGGGGGCTGAGCCGCCGAGAACACGCTCTTGCGGCTGCGGAGGGCGCCAACTGACAGGGCGGCGGTCCGCTGCTGCAAGCGCCAGCGAACGCTGGGCAACCGCGCGAGCAGGCGGAGCTGGGGCGCAGGGCGCGCGCTGCCAGCAAGGCCAGCGGTGGACGGACTGGCGCGGCTGGCCAGGGCATGTGGCCAGGCTCGCGGCCCCAACCGGTTGCAAATGCCCCGCTGGAAGACAACAGCTCGAGAATCTGGAGCGGTGCCACAACACTGTCCATGGGACCTCAACGCCACGAATCACCGTTACTGTTGCCGTGACGACCCTGAATCGCCATTCCTTGCCGTTTGTTGCCGTTGCCATTCCTGGGATTTCAACACCGCGAAGCAACGTGATTGTTGCGCCCTGACACTCCGACATCGTGCAAAAAAACACATGTCGAATCTGAATCTGCGTATGACCCCACTCCGCTGGGCCCCCCAGCAGCCCTCGAAAGTGGCGACAGCTTCACATTCTTAAGACGAGTGCGCGCGGCGCTAAGGCAAGAGCCACATTTTGAAAAGGAATCGCCCTCCATCCGTGAAACTTCTGCAAGCTAAAAAGAGGATGCGCGCGGCGCTGGGGCGAGAGCCACATATTGAAAACGGACCCGCCTCTGTGGGTGGAACTCTTGCAATGGGGCGCACGAATGTGCGCGGCGCTAAAGCGAGAGCCACACTTTGAAAACGTTCCGCCCTCCATCCGTGAAACCCTTGATTTTTTGTCTAACACGGATATGCGGGGCGCTGAGGCGAGAGCCACATTTTGAAAGCGACCCGCCCTCCAGCCGTGAGACTGTTGCAGAACTCTAACACACACGTGTGCGGCGCTGAGGCGAGGGCTACATTTTGAAAGCAAGCCGCCCTCCGTCCGTGAAACTGCTGGAAATTTGAAGTTTCACAGTCGCAAATGGCGGAACAATTTCATGCGAAACTCCCGGCCCACCCTCTCGGACAGGCGGGGCGGCCGCGGAGGAGGAGGGAGGAGAGGGCCCCCAGAGGAGGAAGACTTCCGACCTGAGCGCGCTGGCGCGGCCAGCCTCGTCAGCGGGGACCGCGGCGGCTGCCAGGCCGCAGCGCGGGGCACCCACGGGCGAGGACAAGGCCCAGTACGCGACAGTAAACAAGGTACTAGCATGTCAAGGAAAGCGCCGCGAGGCTGCCCACGTGGGTGGCCGGGTTGACAAAGCACGGCAAGTACACGAGCAATCTAGATTTCAGATTGGCATCAGGAAAACGCTGGGCCTGCGAGGCGGGGCGCAGGGCGGCAAGACCAGGCCAAGGACAAGGCGCGCGGAAAAAGGGAAGGGGGGACGGGCAGGAGGAGCGCCCCGCCTGCGGGGAGGTCCCAGCAGGCGGAGCGTCGGCGCCAGGCGGCACAGCGCAAGCGCTGCGGCTGCCCAGCGAGTGGCCGTTGTTGCGGCCGTGGAGGCCATGCGCTGCCTGGGTTGACAGCGCACGGCCGGCGCTGGGGCACCTAACCGGCGCAGCTGCCTGCGTCAAAAGAAACCTTTGAGGGCCACGCGCTGTCTGGGTGGACAATACCAGGCCGGTCTAGGAGCGCCATGTTGGCGCACTTTCCTGCGCGCCCACACGTCATCCAGGGGCGTCGGCGCGTGGCGGAGGAAGCAGCGGAGGAAAGTGGCGTCGTGCTGGCTGGGGTCGCCGCCGCCACCGCCAAGCAGAACGCAGAACCTATGCCAGGCCGCCCCATGCTCACCACCTCTCTGCTGCATCCTCCTGACCCGGGAGCCACCAGGGCGCCCGTCGAGCTGGGAAAGTCGAGCAGAACGCAGGCTGGGACATCCTCAGGGCGCGCCCACCCATCTGTCCTGCTTCCTATAGTCCGAGGCGAACGAGTCCCATCGGACGCGGGTGCGTGGCAACGCGGTCCAAATTTTCTTGACGAGTAGCAGGAGCTTGCGCGCCGCGCAGGCAGAGGCGTTTCCCCTTGCGGGCGGGCGTTGGAGCAGCCCGCGGTGCCAGAGCCAACGACAGCCACCGGGGAGGAGCGAGGAGCATCAGGAGCGGGCGGTGGGACGCGTTCTCCCTGCGACCCGCCGCGAAGCCTGGACAGGGAACGCTGGGGCGCAGGGAGGGCGGGTTGGGATTCACAAGGAGGGGGCCCGGGGGGTAGCACGGAGCTCGGGGTGCACAATCCCTGGATGGCCACTGGGGTGCGGCGGCACGGTCCGATCGCTGGCCCCGAAGTCTGACTGGGCCCTCTCAGTCCGAAAGGGCTGCTCCGTGACAGGGCCGCGTTCTGATGTTAGCGAAGGGCTCGCGTCAGCGCTGGGCAAAGCCGTTGTGTTCAGGGTCGTGTCGCTTCCCTCTGGCTGCCCGCAGGTAGTTCCTGCGCTCTGTCTGAGCTCGCCACCCTCAGCCGCCCCGCACTCCCTGCAGGCTCTGGGGGGGGCACCGGCACTGGAGCTGGCACTGCAGCACGGGAGAAGGAGAAGAAGAAGAAGAAGAAGAAGGAGAAAACGAAGAAGAAGAAGAAGAAGGGAAAGAAGAAGAAAGGGCATAAGAAAAAGGCCCAAAAAATAAACATAGGATGAACAATAATAATAACAAGAAGAAGAAGAAAAAATATAATAAAAAAGAAGAATACAAAAAAAGAATAATAATAATAATAATAATAGTAATAATGGTGATAATAATGAAAATAAAAGCAATGAGAAGAAGAAGCAGAATACATTGAAAAAAACAGGAAAAGAGAAGAATGAGAAGAAGAAGAAGAAAACTAAGAAGAAAAAGAAGAAGTGGAAAATAGAGAATAAATTATCCCGGCAAAGCAACCTAACAGCGATGTGTAGGAGCATATCTGGAAGCATTCCCCTTAAGATTCAGATAAGAATCCGGTTGTAGAATTCTGCTGTTCTCGCAGTCGTGGTCGCATTCGCGATGGCAGTCGCAGTGGCAACAGCAGTCGCAGTCACAGCCTCAGCCTCAGCCTGCCTCAGCCTCAGCCTCAGCCTGCCTCAGCCTCAGTCTGCCTTCAGCCTCGCCCTCAGCCTGCTTCAGCCTCGACATCAGTCTGCCTTCAGCCTCGGCCTCAGCCTGCCTCAGCCTCACCCTCAGCCTGCATCAGCCTCAGCCTGCCTCAGCCTCGCCCTCAGCCTGCTTCAGCCTCAACATCAGTCTGCCTTCAGCCTCAGCCTTCAGCCTCAGCCTCAGCCTCAGCCTCCTCAGCCTCAGCCTCAGCCTCAGCCTCAGCCTCAGCCTCAGCCTCAGCCTCAGCCTCAGCCTCAGCCTCAGCCTCAGCCTCAGCTGCTCAGCCTCAGCCTCACTGCCTCAGCCTCAGCCTCAGCCTGCCTCAGCCTCAGCCTCAGCCTCAGCCTCAGCCTCAGCCTCACAGCCTGCCTCAGCCTCAGCCTCAGCCTCAGCCTCAGCCTCAGCCTCAGCCTCAGCCTCAGCAGCCTCAGCCTCAGCCTCTGCCTCAGCCTGCCTCAGCCTCAGCCTCAGCCTCAGCCTCAGCCTCAGCCTCAGCCTCAGCCTGCCTCAGCCTCAGCCTGCCTCAGCCTCAGCCTCAGCCTGCTTCAGCCTCAGCCTCAGTCTGCCTTCAGCCTCGCCTCAGCCTCAGCCTCAGCCTCTGCATCAGCCTCAGCCTCAGCCTCAGCCTGCCTCAGCCTCAGCCTCAGCCTCAGCCTGCCTCAGCCTCAGCCTCAGCCTGCTTCAGCCTCAGCCTCAGTCTGCCTTCAGCCTCGGCCTCAGCCTCAGCCTGCCTCAGCCTCAGCCTGCATCAGCCTCAGCCTCAGCCTCAGCCTGCCTCAGCATCAGCCTGCCTCAGCCTCAGCCTCAGCCTGCCTCAGCCTCAGCCTCAGCTGCTTCAGCCTCAGCCTCAGTCTGCCTTCAGCCTCGGCCTCAGCCTCAGCCTGCCTCAGCCTCAGCCTGCCTCAGCCTCAGCCTCAGCCTCAGCCTCAGCCTCAGCCTCAGCCTGCCTCAGCCTCAGCCTCATCAGCCTCAGCCTCAGCCTCAGCCTGCATCAGCCTCAGCCTCAGCCTCAGCCTGCCTCAGCCTCAGCCCATCAGCCTCAGCCTCAGCCTGCCTCAGCCTCAGCCTCAGCCTGCTTCAGCCTCAGCCTCAGTCTGCCTTCAGCCTCGGCCTCAGCCTCAGCCTGCCTCAGCCTCAGCCTGCATCAGCCTCAGCCTCAGCCTCAGCCTGCCTCAGCATCAGCCTGCCTCAGCCTCAGCCTCAGCCTGCCTCAGCCTCAGCCTCAGCCTGCTTCAGCCTCAGCCTCAGTCTGCCTTCAGCCTCGTCCTCAGCTTCAG